GTTAAAAGTCATTATCTCGTGAATCTTTCATTTTAGACAAGTAGTGTCTCCAGAAAAATTTCTGGATACAAAAAGAACCTTCTTTTTACATTGACAGATCAATGATTAATTCTCCTAGAAGTGAGATTTAAAAATTGATTTTTCCAAAAATTCCGTAGTCAGGATCGGTGTCTTTGGCAAAGTTTTTTTTTTTTATTATTATAGGCACTTTAATACTCTTGGGTCATTCGTGACTTGTCCGGGGGTGAACTCGTGACTTTGGCGTAAGAGGTATGGTTGTTAACCACTACGCCGGGGTCGTACCCCGGTTTGGCAAAGTTTTAGAAAATATCAAAACAAGAAAGTTTGCTCAAGACACTAAGTGGCTATTTCTTCAACACATTGAAGTATGGAACGTTTTTGGTGGAAATCCTCTTAATAAAAGTATATACTTAATAATATTTTTTTAAACTTCTACTGTTTTGAAATATTATACAAAGTTGTTAAAACATTAATACACATAAGTTTGATGAACATCATAGCACACTAGATCGCTAAATAGGTGAGTTATTATCGATTTTGCTAAAAAAAATATAATGTTTATGTTCCCGCCACATCTCACTACCAAACCAATAGGAATAGAAGTATTTAAGTGTGTTTTCATCAAAACATTCAAAATTTCTTGCAGAAACATACAGAAACATGAATCATATGTTGAATGCATCCGCAGGATGTAAAATGTCACTTATAAACAACAACAACAACAACAAATGAATCATATGTGAAATACTGTATGATATGGGATGGGATAAAAGTGATTTTTTCCTACATAAAACATTATTTAAACCTCTACTGCTTCGAGGTAGTGTCCAAAACTGATCAAAACATCAGTATGCACACATTTTCTCAATATTCCACCGTACTAGATTTTAAAATAGGCAAGTAATTGTTGATTTTATTAGCTCGACCTTACATTTTTATTCCATGCTTCCAACGCCATCGGAAGCTCCAATGACTCCATTACATCAGCACCATGCATTTGTTCAAAGTGTACTGATTGTCATGTAGTACATGTAGTGAAAAAATCACTTTAAAGGCGTTTTCTATTTAAAAAAAAAAAAAAACATCCCATATCATGCAATATTTCGCATACAATTCTTGTTTCTGCATATTTCAGCAAGAAATTTTGAATATTTTGAAGAAAACACACTTAAATACTTCTATACCTATTGGTTTTGTCCTGGGATGTGGTGGGAAATGGTAGTAAATCATAATTATGTGGCTAAAAATTATATTTTTAGAGCAAAATCAATAATAATTTACCAATTTAGCGATCTACACACAGAGTTTAGATTACCGAAGTCGGTAAAATTTTACTTGGTTTTTAAACAGCTGAGTTTTTAGTAATCAACCCAGTAGTTTTTGCTTTTGCTGAAAACTCCGTAGATCTCTGAACTGTAAAAAATTATCATTTTAGTCAGTACTAGTATTACCAACAATCAATACGAAACTAACGATTTTAAATTGGCTCACCACTTTAGTAGCCTATTGGTCCCAAGCAAACGATTAACGTACCCTATTCTAGTCGAAATTCTAGTACAACGCAATGTTTGTTTTGATTCGCTATGAAAGTTTGACAGATAAAATGAGGGGTTATTGGTTTTTCCTATGTTTCGAGGGGTGATTCGACTGATGGGACCGAAGATAGTACCAGAGGTGAGCCAAAAAGTTGAGCACGTTTCTTCGGGACCTACTTGTCTTAGAGTAACCTCTATGGTATTACTGCCTTTTTCAGCATTTTATTTGTTTAGTTTTTGCTGAGTTTTTCAGCATTTTTTTTATTAGTATTTTTTTATTAAGAGTGAGTAAATATATCAAAAATGTTTTTATTTTTGTTAATTCATGATTTGTTTGGGTTCATTCGATAAAAACATTTCGAATTCATAGCGATTTTTATTTGGGGACTGACTTTAGTGGCGGATTAGCATCAATGCTGTTTAACTAGTCCAGGTTGAGTGGTTAACGCTTCCTGGTGGTTTGACCGGTTGGCTCTTTTGATGTGCCGGATTGCGTGCCTAGGTCTGGAGCAATATAACAGATATTTTTGATGAAATTTCTTCAAACTAAATCGAACATCTGAAAGTCATTGCAGGAGTGCAGAAAATGCTAAATATCGAGGCAGTTTCTGCACTCCTGTGTTGACTTCCAGATGTTTCACTGGTTTTCACAATGGTTTCCTGTTTTCACGCGGAGATTTACGACGTCAAGTGCGTGAGGTTGACTGGAGGAGGATGACATAAGAAATTGGCTTTACTGTCAGTATCAGCAATGTTGGAATTTCGTTTGATGTCTGCTCCAGTAAAACATAACGAATACAGAAAACTCGGTACTCTATTGTACTGAGTTTTAGTCATTCTCCGCAAAGCTGTTATTTTACGATAAGTTCAGTACTTGCTCTTACCGTATTCAGTAGTTGGTCGCAAACTGATCGTCAGTTGTTTTATTGAGAATAGCTCGGTAATTTTTGTGATTTACAGTTCGAAAACTGTAAAAAAAAATACCGAACAGGGAAGCCGTCGTTAAGTGTGTAGACATCACAAGTCTAAAATGCAATATTCATGAGATAATGACTTTTGACCGTCTTTTCACAGTTCTAAACCACTGTGCGTGCAGGAAGGCAAATTTCTCACGATTAATTTAACCATTGACAATCCAACTGCGGGACACTGGAAATCTTGGACTGGGGTTACATTCAATTAAGTTGATTCCTTGTAGAGTCCACAAATGGCCACGTCTAATAAAAATTGTATGGTTAATTTGCTTAACGACGTGTTCTGGGTATCATCCAAACCATTTGTGGAATAGTTCAATGATTTGGGTTATCGTTCGTTTATGGTTATTTTTTATTAGGGACCACGTGCACTCCGAATTTTCGAATTTTCAATTACACAGATCTGGGAAGTGAATGCCCCATTTCACCTAAAATTGCTTCTTCATGTAAGCTGCAGTACAGCAAACGTGGAGTAACAGTTTCATTGTGGTGCGTATCGTAGAAGCTAATATTTGTGCACTTAAAGTTTCGAAGTGGTTACGAGAATAAGGATCTCCCAGCGAAACACCTTAAGTCGAGACTTCATTCGCGTGATGATTAGACTTATGTCCAACCACTACTCGCTAGATCAGCATCTCCAAATAATAAACCTCGTGGACAGAAACATCTGTCGGTGTGGAAACGGTTACGATGACATCGATCACGCAGTATGGCACTGTACGGATAATAAAGCCGCCAGAGAGCGACTTTTGAATACCCTTGAGACCTATAGTGAGTGATGAAGGGAGACTTCGTGAGCGGATGGCCTTGCGGTACATTGTAAAGTAGCTCATTTTCGAAAAATAAATGCTATAAGACTGTTACGCCGCACAGGGCAGAATATTTATGTATTTGTCTTCAATCAAGAGTAGACCGTTTTGATACAATGATAATTATATTTTATGGCTTACTTCTAAAAAATATTATATACCAAAAACTAGACTTAAAAGTATTTTGTTTACTACAAATAAAATTGAAGTATTACTTCAATTTGGCTTTTGTCATTGTAAAGATAATAGTTTGTAAGTTGCCATCATCTGATTCAAAGAAAATTAGAAAATGTCTATAGGTGCTATATTTTTTCTATTATTTTTGCATATGCATCGAGTTTGGCTTTATTTGAACGTCGGAAAATTGAAAAATAAGACCGCGTACAAAAACGGTTGGGTGTATCTTGTTATAGGGATACACCCAACCCTTTTTTTCCTTGGTTTGTTTTTCGTCGATCTTGTTTTCCGTGCTGAGCACCAATGCTACCGACGCCAAGGAACCGGGGACCAACGGCTTTACATCCCGGCGGTGTCGACTGGGATTTGAACCCAGGCCTACTGGGGTGAGAGGTAACCACGCTTACCACTACACCACCGGCACCGCTAACCCCAACCCTTTTTGTACGCGGTCTTATTTTTCATTTTGCTCAAAAAGCTATAGACTATTGTTTAAATACATTCAAGCTTTTCCCACCTCCAACATAAAACCATTCAAAAATCCTCTTGTACACCTGGTACTTCTTCCAGTGTGCTAAATAATCATCGCATTTTCAACCTCAAAATAAAAGGGAGTCACTAGTGAGGTGATAATAGTCACCGCGATTGAGGTGACTCTCCATTTGATTTGCACGGAGTTACCTCAGTATAGTGTCATCCCACTCGCGGCGCAGAACAGACCTCAAGGTACGCTCTGCAAGTATCGAATAATCCTTTGTTCGATAGCTTGAAAATGTGCAGTGCGCTTAGATTAAAACTAATGGAACCATGCTTCATCAGCAATGGACTACATGTGTTGCATTCGGGCTGACGGTCGAGCGGCCTACGACAATAGAGTACGAGAAGCAGCATCGTTACAAGTACATACATGGGAGACGGCTGCTCTGCCAGGATAGTTAACATCATTTTATCCCACACCGACAACCAGTTCAACAGTGCAAAAAAAAAAGGCTCATAGGAAACAAACTATAAACAAAAGCAGGAGAACTAACATTGCTAAAGAAGATTAAATTTTAAAGTTTTCTCCTTTTTGTACTTTTCGTCCATCGTGTACTTTTCGTCGTTGAGGAAACTTAAGTATATTTTAGTGGCTGCAAAGCGCTCAGTTTTTTCCGTTTCTTGAATCGCAGTAGAATACGAGATATCAATATACTACATATAGCTAAGCTTATGTGGCTTATATGATTGTACAGTTCAAGTTTACCCAGGGAGGAAAGTTTCGCTTGGTTGTTTGCCGATGAGATTGTTTCTCATTTTGTCTTGCATCGAAAGAAAGAAAAGTTCAACCGGATAGGTAGTTAGGGATTGCGAAATGAAATTACGAAATTACTTACGACGTAATTTCATTGAACTTTATTAATTTTACGTTGGTTAGCGAACGAATGCTGAATAGGAAGTGACTCAATAATTTCGGATTGTTTGCTTGAATTTACCCAAACTAGTCATCCAGCGTATTATAATACATCTATTTAAAACTATTTTGGGTGGTACAGCATAATGAATGATAAACTATTAGAATACAACAGCTCCTTGGTGCAATAGCTTTCTGTGATATCCGAAATGCTTCCTTGTAACGGAGGTAAGGAATTTAGCGAGAAATACGGATTTAGTTAGTGTTTCTAGCTCTAGTAACTTCATCGTCACTGCTACTACTGCTACCGCTGCTGCTGCTGGAAGTGTCGTGCAATTTGTTGGCATGCCGTTCGGGAATTGTGTAGGGGAATTCATGTCCAGCCGCTGTCACTTTATCTTTGAGCCTTCTCAGTGCTGACCGATTGAAGTGCTCCAAGCAGATAACCTTTAGACCGTCTTTCAGCGCATCCAGACCTTGGGCAGCTTGGTCCTTGCTTACCAGTGCGTCGATCAGGCAACTGTAAATTATACCCATACCGTTCTCGGAAACTTTCGAATCTTTCAATTGTTCAATCAAACGACGCACCATGGCATCGTCGTTCGTTTCTCTGGCATGTTGAATGATCTTCTGGAACATGACCCTCGGACTGTTGATCAGGTGAGCATCCCAGATTTGCTTGGCCTGTTCTGCGTTGTTTGCCATGAAGTGATGCGTCCACAGAGCGTTCATTGGTGCAATAAGATCATACTTGACGTACTTTTCTGCGATTGTCTTGTATCGATCTTGCATTTCCGGGTGTTGTGAAAGAATCCCAGCGGCCCCTCCAATCGGAAAATGTTTCGCAGCTGCTTCAGCTTCTTCCTTCGACTTTATCGAATCTACTGTGTCTTCTAGCTTTTTAATGTACTGTTCTACGTTTCCACCGGCAATGTGGGCGTGGCAAAGGCGATTATCAAATGAGATCAGTCGTTTCACTTCGTCCGTAATCATCTCGCCGATATGCTCAAACGTAGCCAAATCACCAGATGTTGCCAGTTTGTTGAGGAAGTATTTGAAAATACGCGGAATCGGATGGAGGTTTTGTTCAAGCAACTCTAGTACCAACTTCGATGCATCATTCAGACGATCACGGTTGACCAATGCTTCGATTACCAGCGACTGCTCGGTTAGATTCAATTTGTCGTTTCCAGTTAACTTTTCTTTTGCCACAAGAAGTCGATCAACATCGCCCGATTTGGATGCTGCCTTAAACTCCTTGAGAGTAGGTGACAAAACCTTCTTCGGGTCGGCGGGTCTTGTGGCACTGGACTTGATATTCTCTTCCACCTTCGTCGTCTTTCTGGTAGGAACTGGTGCATTCGGCGCGACGAACGGTACTTCGTATCCGTTAGCTTTCAAAAAGTTGGACAGTTCAATCAAGAATTCGTCTGTAGGTGCTTCGTCTTCCTCCTGCATTGTTGTCCACAGACCAAGAGCCTTTTCCGGTTGTTTCTCGTTGATATAGCTCTTGAGCAATTTATAATAGATGGCCGATCGGTCAATATGATTCAAATCCTTGGTGGCTTCCATCAGACCTTCCAAGCTGTGCGTTTTGCCTTCCACGTGGTACCGTTCGCAAGCGCTCTCAATACGTTGCCCGCGCGTACGCAGTCCAGGAGTTTCCAGGATCTTCCTCGCCTGGCGAATTCTGCCGCAGTCAACGAAAGCAAACACCAAATCGTACAGGCTGTTCACTTCACCGTGGACTTCTGTGCTGAGGTCGGTGAGACGCTGCAAATTGGTGGCGTCCTCCGCTTGGATCAATCGGCAGGTGAGTTCCGTTTTCCAGGGGGTAGTTCGATATTTCTGACAAATTTCTTCAAATACTGCAATGGCCGTTTGCATATCATCCCTGATAACGTGAACCTGTGAACAAAAAAGGAAAAGGTGTAGTATTATTTGCAAGGTCAGCTGTCGCTTTTGTTTGGATCATACGGCGCGGTCAGAAATCGAAATATTTTTATTACAATCAGATGAAGGTATCTTATAATAAGCATTGCGAAACTATTGACTTTACAATGACAAAAACCAAATTGAAGCAATACTTCAATTCTATTCGAACACGCAAAAGTAATGCAATGTAAACCAGATACGGATTAGTCTTTTTAGAAGTACGACATAAAATGTAACTATCATTGTAACAAAACGGTGTACTCTTGATTGATGACGAATAAATAAAAAACTACAAGGGACAGCCCTAGGGGGGGTTGTACGCAATGGTGACGTAGGACTACGTGGTCTTATACAATAAATCTTATTTGTTAACTGCAGCAGGAGCTTGTGTTTTGTGCAGGAATAGGAATTTGAGTGGGGTTCTATCTGTTTATACTCTTTAGTATGACGCGCTTGACATAGATGGTCCACAGCAACTCACAAAGAGCTACTAATTCCGATCAATAGCGGTGCGGCTACTTCCTCCTTCTATGGATGCTCATGTGGGCTGCAGCTCGCTGCTTGCAGGCAACCTTTCGTTGTGTACTGTATAACAATGTTCAACGCCACGCGTCGAAAGCACTGCTGCTGCTGCTGATGCCAACGACCGGACACCACCACACACGGTGATTGGAACTGAATCAGATCAGCGGTTGAGGCCAGCCTTGGTAGCTAACTGCTTGCGAGGAGCCTTTTGTTGTGTACAGGAGAACATCACCACTCACCACGCGGTGATTGAATTACCAACGTTTGGTAAGACCGGATGCAATTCAACTTTGAAATCGCTTTTCACAGGCAATCGGTGATAATTTTTATTATCATAACAACAGTTGCACATTCGTGCAATTTTCAATAGTGACATTTTAAAAAATGATAAAGTTTTAAATTTATCAGATGCGTAGAAACATATCTGACCGATTGGTGATAAAATTATTGAAATTGGTCCAGGGGCAGCTGAGTTATTAACGTTCAAAATCTTTCATAATTTTGTTACATGTTCCATTTTCGGTTTTCACAAAGTGTACCTCCCATATTAAAATCACAGACGTAGTCCTACGTCAAAAAAACGTGCCCTAGATTGCTTAAAAAACTCGAAAAACTAAGAGCTAGATACTAGATGTAATGCAACTGCATTTAGTATATTGTCAAGGCGGTAAAAAGTCTATGAGCATTCAGACTCGTTTCGGGTGACCTTCCAGAGCAAATTCAGTTCTCCCAAACTTTGTTAAAGTTGATGGTGTTTTTTCTAGTGTGCTCGTTTGCCACTAAGAAGATTCTTGCCATAAAGAATCAGTGAAATGTGGTAACTGTGACAAGTATCCTCAGCCCTTGCAGGAGTGCCTGAAGTACGTATAGCACGCCGATAAAGTGCAGCGTTCAGTAACTGGACGCTCCAAGCGGACATTTGCAGAAATAATGACGGCCGTCAGCTCTACCGTGGGACACACGCCTTCGAAAACGAACCGATCCTCAAGAATAAAATGCTCCTCCTCCTCCTGAACTCTAATTAAATCGTGTCGCTCTCCTCATTACTCGACGTGTTCCTGAACCACAAACTGCAGGCATTCCTTCTACGAATCTTGCGTCGCGACTCATAATGATTTTCCGCGTAGAAACCTGTAGGCCTTTATGTTCTGAAGAATAACCCACAAACATTAGATTTTGGGATGTTTCGTTGAGCTTCTTGCATTTTGTTTCGGTATATGGACCCACGCGCTGCTGATGAAGATCCTCAGATGACTCACGTTCGGGTTTACGTTGAACCACAGCTTGTATGTGGTAACGATCACATATTTTGACGGAATAATACAAAGCCTCTGCCCAGTAGCAAATATGGAAGCTCTACTTCAAAGAGCAAACATCTAACCATCTCTACTAGATAGCGGTTGCGACGTTCCGCCGCTCCATTCTGCTGGGTGCTGTAGCCAGCCGTGAACTGTGCACTAATCCCTTCTCGCTTGTAGAAATACCGCAGCCGCTTGCTGGAATAGTCCCTTCCTTGATCCGATCGCACAATTTACGGTTTGCAACCAAAGTAGTTTTTCACGTAGGCACATACTCTTCCATCTTACCTACTAGTTCCAACTTTTCAATAGGTACAACGAACAATAACGAGAGAAATCGTCGACCACTGCCATAAAAAAGCGGTATCCATCTGTGTGCTGAAAATACCTGGGAATGTAAAGACATGGCCGTGGGGATACAAGGAGAAAGTCGACGAAGAGAATCTGTCAATGTTACTTAGGACCTAATGCAATGTTCAGCTTGATTTACAGTATTTACATCTATTACGGAGATAGTATACTCAGGAAATTAGACGTACACTGAGTGAATAAATCGACAGAAATTCATTCGAATATCGTATGAAAGTTAGTTATAAGACAATCTTATGAATATTTTCCTTAGAAAAAAAAAGTTGCAACTGGGATTCGAACCAAAGCTCTTGACCTACCGAACAACTTTGCCGAAAACAGAGGCCTTGTATATCAACCTGGTCTATACAAGGTATGGAGATCTAGCCCTGACGTATGTGTTGGTAGAGGGAAAAAAATGTAAACTTTACGGGAGACGATCGCGACGACGTCATAACAACACTCGAAACCAAATTTGCGAAATAAGAAGTGAAACAAATCCTAGCTTTTTTTACATGATGATTTTGCTTGATTGTATTTTTTTGTAAAGTCGCCGGAAAATATCAGCTGGCAATTTGTTGAAAACAGGCAAAAACTCACAAACAGGTTGCTTTTTCATAGTAAACAGTGTGATAATTCAATAATCAATAAATTATCTCAACATTTCGTGGCAAACCGTTCATAAATGTTAAGCTTCAACTCGGATTAACTTTTAATCCCGTCCCTGTTTGGATGATCTGCAAAATGATTGCTTAGAGTGGTGTTGATTAAATCTGATGTCGACATCAAAGCAGCCGGACATTATTGTTCGGGATTTAAGCCGAGGATAATACCGGTTGGAGCTTACCACCATGAACCGTGAACTTTGCAGCCTCACGAGGTATGGTAGTTCGAAGTACCTTTTTCCGCCGCAAAGATATCCACAAAGCCACCTGGAGATCACCTGACCAACACACAGAAAACCAAATCGATCACGTTCTAATCGACGGGAAATTCTTCTCCGACATTATCAACATCCGCACATACCACACATAGATTCGGACCACTACCTAGTTGCAGTATGCATGCGCTCAAAACTCTCGACGGTGCATAACACCCGTCGAAGTCGAACACCGCGACCCAACATTGAGCAACTACGGGACGCCGGAGCTGCCCAGGACTACGCGCAGCAGCTGGAAGTTGCACTACCCGCCATAGGTAGTACTGCTGCAGCGGCACTAGGTACTGCAATCCCGGACCGAAGAAATGACTGGTTTGACGGCGAATGCAAACTGTTAGTAGAGGAGAAGAATGCAGCACGGGCGAAAATGCTGCAACACCGTACGAGATTGAATGTGGAGCGATACAGACAAGCGCGGAACAGACAAAACTCGGTTTTCCGAAGGAAGAAGCGTCAGCAGGAAGACCGAGATCGCGAGACGATGGAAAATCTGTACCGCGTAAACGACACACGGAAGTTCTACGAGAAGCTAAATAGTTCGCGCAAAGGCTACGTGCCGCAAGCCCATATGTGCAAGGACTTGGACGGTAACCTTCTCACGAACGAGTGTGAGGTGATTGAGAAGTGGAAGCAGTACTATGACGAGCACCTCAACGGTGAAGCAGCAGAAAACGAAGGTGGCACGGCAACAGACCTTGGAGCACGCGCATAAGACGACAGACTACCAGCCCCTGATCTTCAAGAAGTTGAGGAGGAGATCGGTCGGCTGAAGAACTACAAAGCAACTGGTGTAGATCAACTACCAAGTGAGCCATTAAAATACGGTGGTGAAGCACTGGCTAGAGCGATGCACTGGGCAATTGCCAAGATTTGGGAGGAGGAGATATTACCGGAGGATGGGCGGTGTCGTATGCCCAATCTACAAAGGGCCACAAGTTGGATTGCTGCAACTACCGCGCGATTACACTGCTGAGCGCCGCCTACAAGGTAATTTCCTAAATTCTATGCCGCCGCCTGTCACCATTTGCAAGAGAGTTCGTGGGGCAATACCAGGCGGGATTCATGGGTGCCCGCGCTACCACGGACCAAATTTTCGCGATTCGGTAGGTTCTGCAGAAATGCCGCGAATACAACGTGCCCACACATCATTTGTTCATCGTATTCAAATCCGCACACGACACAATCGATCGAGATCAGCTATTGCAGATTATGCACGAGTACGGATTTCCGGATAAACTGACGCGATTGGTCAAGGCGACAATGGATCGAGTGATGTGCGTTGTTCGAGTATCGGGGACACCCTCGAGTCCCTTTGAATCTCGAAGGGGGTTACGGCAAGGAAATGGACTTTCTTCTTCTTCTTCGCATTAATTGAGAGCTTTCGATGCCTGTACCATTTTTGCATTAGTATAAATGTGTGGCAAGTTCAATCATACTCTATGCCCAGGGAAGTCGAGAAATTTTCCAACCCGAAAAATTCCTAGACCGGACCGGGAATCGAACCCAGCCACCTCCAGCATGGTCTTGCTTTGTAGCTGTGCCTTTGCCGGCCGAGCTAAGGGAGGTCCCTTAGTTTTATTTATATTCAATCTCAATTACACACACTTCCAGAGAACGAAAACCTTCATTCATGTGTAAAACAACATCATCTTCGTGACGCTGATACGGTAAATTGGAACCGCGTACCTTCGCCAAAGACGTATAAAAGGCCTCCGCCAAAAAGGACAAACAAGCCACTCACACATCATATTTCACCTACCTTGATCAACGCCCCCAGGAAGATGTTCTGCGGCATAATGTATCCATTGTCCAGCAGCTGCTTGAACAGTTTGTTCACCTCATCAGCTTTTCCCATGTCGGCCAACGTGTTCAACAGCCTCCAGCAGGCGCTATTGTAGTTGAAATCGACGTCCTTTGCGTCGCGCTCAGTTGTTGCCTTGTTTGTGGCAATGAACTTCAAAGCTTCATCGAACCGTTCTTGATTCAATAAGGCTTGCGCTAGTCGGATAATCTTCGTATCGTCCAGCTCAAAATCCGGCAGCTTCGTCTTAACTTTGTCCAACAGGGCAAAAGCTTCCTCAATTTTTCCACTGTTGGCGTACAGTTCGATTACTTGCGCGTATACTCCTGGCTGAATAACGTAGCTTTCCTCTTCAAGGCGGTTCAGAACTTCCTCCGTCTTAGCGACATCGTTAGCTCGAATCGTATTACGGATCAGCTGATTCTTGAAGGAATTAGTATTCTCTCCCCGAGCTTGCAGGTCAGTGATGAGTCGTTCCAACTGCGGGATCGAGAAGTTAGAGATGGGTGTTTTGGTTCTCTGGTTTACACTTTCCAGCTGTACCGGTTCCAAATCTCCGGCGGCTAATTTGCTCAACATTGTAGAAATTTCGGTTGTCATGTCAGCACCTAGCTTGTCTTGGATTCGCTCCGCTTGCGAGTTGCTAACGGAAAGGCCTTGGTTAACGAATCCGGTAAGAATTGTTTCCAGCGCTTCGACCCGTTTGCTCTTGAAGGTAACTAGGACATCGTAAATCAATGAACCCAACACATCTGCTTGCATGTTTGGCGAGCTGGATTCGTTTTCTCCAGGTTGTTCGCTGACTTCCTCCTTGGAGCTCATTCGCAGCATGTTGTCGTACAAGTGACGAGAGAAACGGATGTACGAGTTGAAATCCTTCGTATTGAGCAAAGCCGTGACCAGTGGCTTACGATAGACACCCGGAGAGTAGAATGCCTTGTACCGGGATGCAATATTCGCCGCTTCTTTGAGATTGTTGTTCTCCAATGCAACATAAACGCATCCGGAACTGGCCACTGCAGAGGAAATGCCAACACTTCTTAGCAACTGAATAACCTCTTCGTGATTATTCATTCCCATATTGGGAATCACATATTCGCGAATAGTTTCACTGCTTGGTTGCATATCAAAGTCCTGTATCATTGTCCTCAAAACGCTTAGAACTCCTTCAGGTTGAGGTTGATCGTTGACACACAACAGTGGCCAGAAGTAGTGCTGCCGCAATGGTTGATTTTGCTCCTTGATTGTCTTCAGCAAGGCATAAGCGGCGTCAACGATTCCATTTTTCAACGCAGTCTCTAATGCAATCAGATAGGAATTTACGTTCATGCCCGAACTGTGAAGTTCTTCACAAATCGAAAGAATCTTCGCAACGGGTCTCTTGGCTTTGACTAACTGTTTGATCAAGAATCCTCCGGTATTGGCCATCTCGCCGTCGGTTTTTGTGGCTCTTGGCATAGTTTTTAGTACTTTGAATGCAGCGTCTTCCTGGCCACGGTTGATCAGTCTCAAGATAACATTCACTGCATCTTGGTTGTAACCGGCCTGCTTGCGAATCTTTTCAATCAACGGATCGATCTTTTCTGCGTGACCGTTGGTGGCGAGCGAGTAGATTATTTCCAACAGATCCTTGTCAAGCAAATAGATTTCCTTCTGTTCACAAGTCTCCAGCGTTTTCACAATATAATCGATGTCTCCCTTCCGAGCGTATCCACACAGCAAGGTCGTATATGTATCTGCTGATGGATGCAGTCCGGCTTGAGACATCACTGCCAGAATTCCAGTTGCTGATTCCAAATCACTGAAAGCAAATAAGAACAAGTTCGAAATCATCCACAAACAACACAACTGCTCACATAGATCCGAGCTCTACTCACTCTGCCTGCGAATGTCCCATGATTAGTGCGTTGAACACGTACTCGTTGACGGGCAGTTGCTTTTCACGCATGTATTCCAGAATCTTGGTAGCTCCTTCGATGTCCCCTTCCTGGCAGTAGCGCGAAATCAACCGTTGGTAGGTGACGCGATTCGGTTCGATTCCTTTCGCCTTCAGATCGGTAAGAAATTCCGTCGGCGAGAACTGATGTTCGTTATCCAGATAAACCCTGAGCAAGGCATTGAAGTGAGAAACGTCCATAGCCACATTCAAGTTGTTAAGGGTTTTCCAAATTTCTTGAACCAGTGCCGTTCGTACCTCTGGTAATTCCTCCGGGACTAGATTGCCTTCAAACAAATAAACAAACAATAATGAATAATCGCGATCAAACGTTACAACACCAGTTTCTAGCTTACCACAACACCGAATGACCAGTAACGATTGCGCACTGGTAGCCGATCGATTCATCCGTATTTCCTCAAGAACATCTTCCAGGTCCCGCCTTGAGATACGTCCCGAACGACGTACATCTTCATCGAGCCGCTTCAGGGAACGATCTAGACCCTGACTGGCACTGGCCGCCGTCGTTGCGAAACCACTGAAACAAGGAGACAAAAATCTATCACTTTTTCATTCAGCAAGCATGGGACGGAATGCAATCGGCTGCTCTTGTTGCGTAACGAAAGGGGTTTGCCGGTATTTGCTCAAAAATATCCACTTACCTGACGGAATTACCACACAAACATTGCGAATGTTGGACAAAGCTTCCCTCCGTCTCGCGGACCGTGTTGAACACGATGTTCCGTGTGAAACCGGCAATATATCGAACAAATTTGCTGGACCGCAAAATCGAGGCCATGTTTTGTGATGTGCTGAGAAAAACGCGAGGAAGATTCTCGGCTGTTTGACAGCCGTCAGCCCAAAAGTACGATTGTGTTTGTGAGATATGGAGAGAGAGAGAGATAAAGAAAACTTACACAGAAAAATAAAACAACCCTAATTTGAGTACACGGTAACCAGCGTAAACACATTAATGAGTAAAAATTTAAACATTTTTTATACACACACTAAGATTTTTTTTACAGTATACCGTAATTTTTTACCGAATATGGAACAGCTGGACATTCGGTAATCTATTCGGTATTTTTTTCATTTACAATCCGTTCGGTAAATTTTGTTCCCTTGTGAGCTGTCAAAATGTACTGACCAGGACTTTAAATTTTGCTGAATGATCGGTGAAGTTTACAATATAGCGTTCGGTATAATGTTACCGAATTGGCTATACTTAATTTGCCTGAATTAATCATTAATAACGTGATTTTATTGATTAATTAATTATTTATTTCTAACAACAAACCTGAAGATTCATTTGACCTCGCATTTGACTAATCATTTATTTATTATCTATAAACATACATTTTCATCGTGCGTCCGTATATAAAGTAAATAAGAAACTGACCGTGGTTAGCGACCCACCCTAATAAAAAATAACCATAAACGAACGATAACCCAAATCATTGAACTATTCCACAAATGGTTTGGATGATACCCAGAACACGTCGTTAAGCAAATTAACCATACAATTTTTATTAGGGCAGTAGCGAACCGTGCACAAATTCGCTTTTTGCTGTTGTGGACGAGGTTTGTGTGTGGTATTTGGCCATTTAATGTCCATGTCGTCTGAAAGCAATTGGCCCAGAAATGAAAAAGAATTATATAATTAATACTTTCCATATAAATTGGACGGATTATTGGAAAAAATTAACGTACTTACTGGTCACAAAGGATAGCTGAAGAACACTCAACTTCAAAATAACAGCAAAGCTTTACAGTGTGAAGTTTACAAATCTGTTCTGTATTTTTTACAAAAATCTGGTAAATTACTGCTGTTTGTTTTTGTAAAAGATTATGTTTACAGCACATTCGTCACAATTTTTACAGTATTGCGGAATTGCAGCAATTTACAATTTAGATCAGTAATTTTGATTTACAGGTTTCGGTAGATTTCTATAAATTACGGAAATTCAGCAGTTTTGATTGCGGAATATTGGTAAATCATTACTTTTTACAAAGCTTACGGCAAAAATTAAATTTCACAGAACGAATCCAGCAAAAAAAGTACCCAACAAGATTTAAGAGATTTGGTGATAGATTTTTTTGCCGAACCCGGCAAAAAAGACTGCCGAGAATCCAACAGCCGAGCTCTCGGCAAACATCTCGGTAAACCATTTGAATGCCGTGAGATCGGCAGAACAAAATTTTTCCCAGCTGTCATAATTTACCGATTTCTTTGGTAAAATATTTTACTGCTTTTCGGCAAAAATGTTTACTGCAATTCGATAGTTTTTTTTTGCGGTTTCTCGGTATTTTTTATGTTTTTCTCTCTATTATTTGTAATTTTGGTATTCAATGAAAAGAAATATAATAAAACTTAACCATTGTTTCTATTTATTCAAACGTATTTTTGTTTACAATCGTATTATAACTCACTCAGTATATAAATCATTTCTCTGACTAACACGCTAGATTTTCACTCTACATTTTGATTTCACAAAAAGGTAATCGACCATACTCCTTTATCTCTAAATAATTGCGATTTTTTCTATCAAAAAAAACTTGTAGGAAATTTGCTGAGATACTGATTAATTCTACTGGACCAACTGATTTTTACCCTAGAGAACGCACAAATTTTTCCCCAGTAGTTCCGATTTTACTGACAGTGAAAACAGCCGCCTTGAAGAAAAGAAAGAACTGCTTGTCGCTGGGCACGCAATCTACGGCAAACACGTCGAAACTTTGACACAGCTTTCCAAACGCAGAAATAATGTTGCATCCGATAGGTATATTCATACCCTTCCATGCGATGTAACACTGTTCGCCTCTGTCCAACAAGTCACGGCGCACAATCAAAGTAGGAGTGATGGGGTGGATGAGAATTGCGTCGTGTACCTGTGTACCACAGACAAACAGACGTAACTCTTCATTGTGTATCTTCGTTCACGCATTTACCGGTTGATTTGAATATTATCAGTTCCGCGAACTACTCGCCGCAGCGCTGGCATCGGATCACTTTGACGTTTCTATACATTCTATAGAACTTTTATGCAATATTGTTCACGAGTTAGCGAGTAAGCTTGTTTTCCGCGAGAAGCCTGAAAGATGTCACTGCTGAGGTCCTATGTTTTGAGATACTATGTTTTCAAGAAAAACTTTTTCAAAGAGTTACGTCTGTTTGTCTGTGTGTGTACCATAATTAAAAATGTTAAAAACAGTAAATTCTTATAAGATTGTTTTAGTAACTTATAAGCTAGTATGGCATTGATGTGGCTTCTACCAACAAAATATTATGTACCATATAAATATTATAATTTTAACATATTGTTCTTTTTAATTGACATTTCTCTTTTTATAAAATTGAACAACTTACGCTAACCCCATCGATAATTCCTTTAAGCGGATTCTCCTTCGCTGACTCCTCATCACGCAAGCGCTTTGAGCCTCGTGTTGGATTTTTGGCACGGATTATTGCCAATGCACGTACAAAATCTAAACAAACCACAACACATGCAAATCTAGTTGATGAATTATTAATGAATGAATGTTATACGAACCAGTGAGTGAGCCAAAAATAATAATGATTTTATTCGGGACCCAGTGGTCTTAGAGTTACCTCTATGCTACACGCAGAAAAATTTATCGTTGATACAAACATATTTGAGGTAAATTTAAACGTATATTCAGTTTGTTCTGGCCACAAAAATAAACAAGGTTTATTTCAAACGTATTCCATGTTTGAAGTCATGTGATAATAATGTTTAAAATAAAAATAATATTACGTTTATTTTAAAAATATTCGTGTTGAAAATAAACGTGAATATTTTTGTTTGGTTTGACAACTATGCGAACAAAAATAAATATGTTTATTTTAAACATCCTTCTTATGTTTGAAAGAAACATACTTAATTTTAAATTATATTAGCATTAAGGATAAAGCAAAAAAAAAATGGATTGCAAAGATATGAAAAAACGAACTGCAGACAGGGCATCTAAACTCCTACTCTTTTTCGGGTGCGATTAAGGGTGGGCTGTGGATGTTGGGGTCTTGGTGCGAGATGCGGAGACCCGTCGTGGTGAGTGTCCGGAGGTTCCAGAGGTTCCAGTTCAGTAAAACCAGTGAAACTTTGTGATATTAGCGTCGTTTTGTCGTTTCTAACGCTGATCCTCATACCGGCCTCTTTATACGTTCGGTGTTGAAGGAGGGGCCGCCCCGGTTGATCCGGAATAGATTCGAAATCCATTTAGGATTTTCGTTTTTCTTCCGACGTCAGTTTTGGAGGAGGATGATACAGGGATTGGCTTCAGAAACGACAGAGTGACGTCAATCCTGTGGGGTTTTTCCGGTTTTATCGAGCTGGAACTTTGTTAAGACACTTACCTAGGTGTGCCGTTTTCAGTTGATTGGCAAAGCTGGGGCAATTTTTTTCCCAATGTAAACAAGAAGGGAAAAAAGGCAGGGCACGCTAAAAATCGTTTACCCAAATAATATATTGTTGAAATAAACATGCTTTTGACTTTAATTCAAACGTATATATTTTTGTAGCAAACATGTTTATAATTTATTTTGAATTATTCATATGTTTATATAATAAACATTTATATTTTTGATTTAAATGAACAAAATTCGGTTCCGTGTAGTAGGTCCCGAAGAAAATCATTATTATTTTTGGCTCACTCAGTACCAGAACAACGGTCCCAAGCAGTCCCAAGCTATTTCACTCACCCCTGCATGTTCTGCATGAATCCACACACCCCTGATGTTATCTGTCAAACTTTCATAGCGAATCAAAACAAACATAGTGTATACTATAGTAATAGAATTTCAACTAGAATAGGGTACGTTAATCGTTTGCTTGGGACCAATAGGCTACTAAAGTGGTGAGCCAATTTAAAATCGTTAGTTTCGTATTGATTGTTGCTATTATAGCCGATGTCTTCAACTCCGCTTAAATCTTAAACCAGGTTTACCCATATAATTAAACCTGGTGTAATGCTTAAGCGGAAGTGAAGAAATCGGCCGTATAAGAGAATCGATCAATGCAAACAGGAATTCTGGATCAACAATAGAAAAGGGCCCATCAGCATTTATAAACAAACCGTTCCAAAGCCCATTCCTCACAAACGAAGGCCGCCCACAGAAACCAACACCATCATCGTGTAAGTAGAAGTTTCCGATGATAGTGTTGGTTTGCGTGGGTGGCCTTCACTTTGTGAGTAAAGGGCTTTGGAACGGTTTGTTTACAAATGCTGATGGGCCCTTTTCTATTGTTGATCTAGAATTAATGAAACCTCGCGTCACTTTTCAAATAGGCCAATCTACATTGATCGATTTTCTTCATCGACTTTTTCTTTCGTTAATAACTTGACTGCATTGATATTTTGAACTAATTTGTCAACATAGCATGTTAAAAGAAAGTATTTTTAAGTATATTGGACGATAAGAACAGCCGAACATGTTTTTGAAGCTATGTTATTAACGAAAGAGAGAGTCGGTAGACGTGAGATTTCATTAGCTCTGTCTGCATTGATCGATTTTCTTCGTAAATTCGTCAGTGTCACTTTTTGTTATTTTGAGTTGAATTCGACTCAGTTACTGAATTCAAGCTGAACATTGCATTAGGTCCAAAGTATCATTGACAGATTCTCTTCGTTGACTTTCTCTTTGTAGCCTTACGGCCATGTAAAGACATTCCCAGGTATTTTCAACACATAGATCGACAAAAGAAGCTTTTATCTAGCATCTAATACGACAAACACAACAAGAAACGGTTATATGCTCAAGTTATTAACGAAAGAAAAAGTCGACGAAGAGCTAGGTGGATCGATTCTTCGCTTGCTTGTTGTTCTGCTGCACCGATTTCCT